AAACCTAAGGCTCCATATTCCTTTTGCTCTGTAAGATGTTTTTGCAGCATTGTGTAGCAGCTGGCTAATCAGCTTTGACTCATGTTTATACCAAATGCCCAAGTATTAAGATTTTTTTGAAAATAACAAGATTTCTTTATTTCTATTGTTGATTTCTATAAATTTCCATTACAACTGAGGTTCATATTGTGTTGATGATACTTTGAGTTGTTCTCCCTACAGACCTGAGCAATAACCTTTCCATGATTCTTCAATGCATATGTAATATCCACAGTGCAATATCTAAAAATTGGCTGCAAGATTAATAAAACAGGATTTCTTACTGGAAATACATGGAGATCAGTCCACAAATTTCTTATAATCTTAAAGTTGATTTCCTACTTCATGTCACTGCTGATAGGAAATGGAAACTCATCTTAGACACAGATTTTATTGGGAGGTGCTGAAAACGTTCCCCTCACTTAATGCCAGATGAAAATTTCTGTCACCAGCTGATTTTAGTGTTCACATTTTTGTCATGTATATTGTTCATTCAGTATCAGGGTTAACAGTCTATAAAAATGGGATCCAATTGAGCCTGAACGCTACACAAAGTTTAATCAGTAATACAAAATGTAGCAAGCATAGTTCAACTACTCCCATAAATACCAGAATTCATTTAATTTGTTTTCTTTAACCTGCAGTGACCTTCAAGAGTTCAGCCATATTTAATTAACATTTTGGTTTCCATATATCTTATCTTATATCTCCCATGTCTTTGTTCATGCTTTATTAACCATCCATTTAAAAACAAACCAACAAACAAAAACCCTGTATAAGTTTTGTTCATCAAGATTCTGCTTTCTATTGACTGATCTGAAGTTAGCTATTCCTTTTTTATATTTGTGCATTAAAATCAAACTTAGCTTCTTTAGCTAGCCAGATCTGAGCTGACTAAATTAGTCTTTGTACAGTCTTTGTGATGCTTTGATTTCCCAAAGGTCTATTTAGAATATGCATTGTAATGTTTAGTCTTTTCTCTCAAATAGAGCTAATTAAGGAAAATTATTATATTACTCTGTCAAGGTTATTTGAAACCTGTGTGAGAAACTAGAAATAAGATCAGTGAACTCCAGGCACTTGCATTAAAAACTTTAGGTAGGAAGAAAAGACTGATGCAAATAAGCAATAAAAAAAGCGAGGGGCAAAGGAATGGGAACAGATGGAATTTTGTGGCTGTACTGCCTACATAATGAAACAGTCTGTGTATATATATAGAAGACAGCCCACTAGTTTGAATCTTCCAGGTACAGTACATTTATTGGAAAGGTCTATACATTGTGCAGTTGAACATACTTAATTGCTTTTAATGTCCATGATTATACAAAGAGCCAGAAAACAAAAATATAGTACTACAGTGAGCATCCTCAAGGGGTCAGCTTTGGTTGCTATGTCGAACTGGCAAATTGCCCATCAAGAATGACTGGGAGGGGGATGGAGAGGAGGGTGGGGACAGAGGCCTGCATCCAGCCCCCTACTCCCTGACTCAGGCTGGGATTGCAGCCACTTCCCTCCTCTCCCCTGCGCCTTTGGGCTGAGGCCAGTCTTGCTACCTTCCCTCCCCCCACATCCGCTTCAGGCCAGGGCTTGTACCCACAACAGAAGTGGTGGTCGCGACAGTGGAGGTTGCAGTGGAGGTCATGGCCACAGTGGCGGTCCTGGCGGAGTGCAGCCACTGGTCAGCCCACCTCCTGCTCCCCTCCCTTCCTCCCCTCTTCCCTGCTGCCTCACCCTCCCTGCCAGCTGGTGTTGGGGGGGGGGGGCAATCCAGCCCCTGGCTTCAAGGAGTAGGGTTGTGGGGGGAACCAGCTCCAGCCCCAGTCCCTGCAGTTATGGTAGTGCTCCACCATGTGGGGCAGGGTGAGGCCAGCACTGCACAGCCAGCACCCTGTACCCCTGCCACCTCCACAGAGCAGGGGGGCAAGGCCAGCACTGCTGGCCTTGGCTCCTTGCTCTGTCCCCTCCATCATGACAGTGCTCCAGTCCCCATCATCCCCCTCTGCTGAGGCAAACATTTGGAGTGCGAATAAAGCATTATGGACAGACAGACTAAGGCTTTTATAATGTTAGAATTTTCGGGTGGTGAGCTTAATTTTTCTATTTAGAAATTTCTCGTTTTGGAGTTTGTCTTGTTAGATGTTGGAGAACACTTCCAGAGCACTTTGGAAGAGATAGCTAGAAGTTTCAGGTGTCTGGTTATTGTATAATTAACTCCTTCAAAGAAGAAAAATAAAGGCTTTGGAAATGCTATTTTAATAGATGTTCTCAAGCTATTGAAAAGCAGTATTAAACAATGTATAGTCCTGCTTTTGTATGTTGAGAGTACATCAGTAAAGCAAGTTACATAAAAACATTGACCTTTTTCTAAGTGTGGGGGTTACCTTAGGGAGACCCACATGAATAACTCAAACTATACCTGTAAGTGAATAAATTAAGATATGTATCAAAAATGAGACTTTTGTCCAGAGAGAAGAATTTAACATTTGAGTGACATCAGCAATTGCTTTGAGGGTGAAGATATGTTTGATTTTTTTTTTTTTTTTCAGGTGAAGAAAGTTTCCAGAATCTTCAGGTTTTTGCTCTAATTTTAAAATGTCCAGCTTTCAAAAAGTTTGTCATTGGAAGATTTTACACCCACACTTCATTATTGGTTTTATCAGGTTAGATATTGATATTTTTTTTAAGTAAAATAATTCAAGGATGGGCATGGAGTAAAGAGCAGAAGTCATGTAAATATATATACAAAATAACATCACAGGCTTTCTTTTGTACTTTACACTCATTTTACTCTTGTTTTCCTGCAAATGGCCATGTTGACACTGTACTACCCAATCCCTGATGTTTACAGATGAGCAGCTATGATGTGACTTGATCTTGCATTCCTAGAACTGAGTATAACAGTAGGCCCTATGATTACATTATTAGAAAACACAACCCAGGGAAATAAAGACAACAGATGAGAATGAGAAATCAGAAAAGACTAATGATTTGTGATTTCAGAAAATTTCACAGGAAAAATCACATTGGAGAAGATAAAAGTGAACTGAGATACAAAACAAAGGGAAATGAAGTTGCTTGCAAGAAAGCAATCCCCCTTTGCCACAAAACTGTGCGATCGGGTTTCCACCTCTCCTAGTGCAACCCATAGGATAATACAACCCTTGCAAAAAAGATATGCTCCTTTTTCTTTTAATTTTATTTTGTGTGTCAAGCCAAATTAGCCAAATCAGTTCCAAATTATATTGACTGAGCAGAGCTCAGTCTTTCAAGTCTGTGTGACGCTACTACCAGCAAAAATCCTCCCTCCCTCCCAGACTTTTCAGCCTGGGGCTTCAGATACTCTAAAATCCATGGCAGGCATCCTATGTACAGGCCCCAAACCTAAAGGCTGTGGAGGAAGCTAGGGAGAAATCCCCCATCTCTATAAAAAATCAAGTATGTAGCCAAGATTTTCCCATTGGGAGGCTGTAGTAGACTCTCCCAGGGAGCCTGCCTGCAATGCATTGGACAAGCCTCCCCTCTTAACTACACTATGCCATTCAGGGTGATTTTGGCCCACAAGAGGCTGAGATCGTACGTACAAGCCCCTGTGAGCCAACAGGAATTTTTTTTGCAACAATATTTTTATATATGTACGCTACACCTTTCCAGCATGTTCACCATTACAGTATCACATACCCATTACAATACATGTTCCTGAGCACCTGTTACAATTTGTGCACCCATACACCCATTACAGTTCTTACCCCTGCACACCCTTGGACCCATCCACATTCCCTTCATCGTTAGAATTACGGTGGCCTGCCTCTGCCCTCTGTTCCTTTCTTTAGTCTTTGGTTTTTAGTCCATGTTGCTGTTACTGTTTCTGTTATTGCTGCCACTGTCCTTGTTGTCATCTCCTTTTCCTCTGCTGTCCACATTGCTCAATCCACTTTCTTTTTTGCTGTCCCTAACTTCGTCCATGTTGTCACTGCTCTCTTCACTGAGGGGGTGTTTTTGAACACTGTGCAAGTGGTTACTCTGCCAGATGATCTTTGCTGCCTCTTCGCTGTTCTCTCTTACTGTCTTCTGGTAGCATGTCTGCAGCTCACTCAGTCCTATTTTAATACAGTCCTTGACTGAGAGCTTTGTGTGTCAGTACATTGGAAGAGTCCTGGTCTTGCATAGTGCACTCCTGATGCAGGCGACGAACTGGTTGAAGCAGGCTGATGGGGACCTCTCTTGTTTGGTCAGGTGTCCATGCAGGACTCTGGTCAAGGTTTTGACCCCTGTCACCACTCAGTGGAGACAGTTTACTTTTTTTCCACACCACCTTGGTGTATGGGCAGACCCACAGGAGGTGGTGGATTGTCTCTGCTTTCCCTTGGCAAGTTTTCCTCATGAAGTTGGCTTGGCTTCTCTGCCCAGTGGGCTGCTTGCCAGTTCAAGTCCCTGTGGTCTTTCCATAGGCCCCTAGAGAAGATTCACTCTCACATGGCCTTGCAGCTGTTGCTGGGGAGCAGGTCCACAGCTGACAGTCTGTCTTTGGCTCTGACTGCCTCCTGCATCTTCTGGTGCTTGGTCATTGTTTCAGGGGTTTCTTTGAGCAGGTCATTACTTGCTCCAGAAAATGTTTAAGACCTTGTAGAACCATGACTGCTTCATGGTCCTCAGCTTCCTGTTGGGCAGCACGTATACCTGCTAACATCTCAGCAGGTGCGCTGCCTGGTATTGTACAAAGCAGGCTGTTTTTATCTCTGCCCCAGTTGCCAGTTTGCAGATCTGACTCATGTACTTAGCCCAGAGGAACAGCAGGATATCTAGCATTCCCCTGCCCCCAGTATGTTTTTCCTCTAGTTGCAAACCATTTAATAGGTTTCTTAAGGTCTGTGCTGTATATCTTGCAATACCTAAGAAAGTAACATCTATTTTAACAAGTTGCAGAACACTGGAATGCTAAAAATAAGAATGACTCTCTGCTATTAATCATAGCATTTTTCATAGTCTAAACAGTTAGATTCCTGTAGCTTTTAAGTTTCCCATTTTTTTTATCAATTTTATTTTGTCAAACATAAAGCCAAGTAATTATGAGTGCTTTTGAATTTTATCGTGTGCATCTCTGCAATATGTTGCTGACATTTAAATAACAAAAACACATTAAAATGAACATTTTTCCACTCTTCAATCTTTTTCATGTCCCAGTCTACAATCTCTGCTTTCTTTTGGAAAAGTTGGCAGGTATGTTGTCTTAGATTGAAAGATGTTTGTTGTAGAAGCCACTTTTTCTGTCTATTGGTAAAAACTCTTATCTATATCATAAAAATTGTTTACAAGAATGTTAAAATAACAATAATATACCATACTATACACATATTAGTGTAGCAAGCTTACCTTTCAGAGCTCGAGTTGAGTCCCAGACTTGAGATCCTGCTGTTTTGATTGGTGGAGCCCATCCACCAATCAGAAGCCAGCAAGAGAAATAACATCACGCCCCTTTCCTGAGGGGGTGGGGGGGAGAAGAGCTCCCCCGGACCTGACTGAAGACTGCAAACTGTCAGGTCCAGAAGACTTCAGGGGCAGAGCCTTAGAGCATATAAAAGATGCTGCATGCCCAGCACAGGGGGGATGCGTCAGGGACAGAGAAGAGAGAAGGGCGGGGCTTAGAAGAGCTGAGGAAAGCTGCTCAGCAGGGTGAAGAGCCAGGAAGAGCCCCTGAAGACTTCTTTCAGCAGGCAGAGGCGGACAGGTCTAGCAGTCAGGCTTTCAGTGCGCAGCATGGCGCATGGTGTCCAGACCCTGGGAGCTGCATGAGGTGGCTCGGGTCTGCAACCTCTGGCATGCATCCAGAGACACAGTGCACAGGCTAGTGCATGGAGCAGGATCTTTGGAGCCCCTAGGGCAGCTCAGGTCCTCAACCCCTGGAACAAGGCTGGGAGCTTGGTGCAGGAGGCGCTGCACGGAGGGTGAGAGACCCTGGGAGCCACTTGAGGTGGCTTGGGTCTACAGCTGCTGACACGGGGCAGATAATGCTGCCCAGAGGGTCCTGGAGCAGACTGAGCCCTGGTGCTGCACGAGGCTGTCCAGGCCTCCAACCCCTAGCACAAGGCAAAACGCTCACTACATACAGTGGTCTATGTGACCTTAAGCTACGATGGCAGCAGCAGAGTCAGGCAGCAGGAAAACTCGGCGGGGAACAGAGCTTAACCTGTAGAACAAGAGGCAACCCTCCGGGACTGTGGAGTAGTAAGTTACCCTGGAGAGAGGGTCCCCACAGGGAGGGACCCCCCCAAGGGTTACGAATGGGCACCACATGGGCCACTCCTGGGTGACAGTGGGGAAGCTTAGGAGTCTTTGGGGTCTTCCTCTCCTTTTCTTTCCCCCCACCTCCTTTCCTGTGGTGGTACATTGGGAGTGGGGCCCCTGCCCTGGAAGGCAACCAGGTAGTCTAAGGACAACTGGTTATATTTGTAGACTGTGCCTTATAGTTTACGTGAATAATTTGAAATTATACTTTGTATATTAATAGAGTCATAAGGTTGTCCAATCAATATCCTTGGTCTGGTTTGTTCTATTGTTCATCTGTATTTTGAAACGATAACTCTGTGTGTGTGTGTGTGTGTGTGTGTGTGTGTGTGTAGTATAGAGTTTATTTTTTTGTAAATTTGTACATATATATAAAATCTGTGTCCTTACCCTTTAATGGTTTTGTTGTAATAATAAATCTGTATATAGTTAAGTAATTGATTGACTGGACCTGACTCTATAGGGGATGGAGGCAGCCACTGGGCTGTTGTGTCCCTCCACAACACACTGCCCTGCCAATAATTCCCTCAATTGGAAAGGGAAGTACAAACCCCTGTACACCCAGGCTACATTAGTTCAAGGAACTCTCCGATGTTATTTTAGTTGTCTTTTGCTCTTGACCCATTTCCTGCTGGCTTATTTTGTGATCATAACCTCTGGTAACTTTAGTCTTTTTAAATATATTTTTACGGTGTAAAAATTTTGCAGTAGTTGAGTAGAGAGTTGCTTGCTGATGCACTTCAGGAAGTTATGAAAACACCCAATATAAGCATTATTACAATAGAATGCCAGACAACTTTTACAATCAGATCACCAGATCATTAGATGCAGGGGTAG